TCAGCAATTATTGTATTGGGTAACGTCCGGCCAGAGAATTCTGACAGTGTGACAGTCAGCACAACATCTATGCATGACGGAACAGACAGAAAGGAAGGGCCGGGAAGCCCCCGCGTGCAGAAGTACAGACAAGGAGCATCTGTTCTGATGCCAGAATCCGCAGCGGTTGGTGTGTCCTGCGCGTGGCCACTTGATGTTGGTGCAAGTTTCTTCAACGATTGACATCGTTCGGCTGATGCAGTCTGGTATCTGATGGGACGAGTCAGAGCAAGTTCGGACATTCACGGCCCTACACGGATTCAGTTTGTGCGGCCATGAGGGACTCAAGAACCTGGCCCTCGTTCTGCCATGGTGATACGCAGTGCTGAGCCATGTGTAGCATGCTGTGCATCCATGCGCATGTCCGCTGAATGCATTTGCGGCAAACGCATGCATGTAACCCCAAAACGTGTCCTGCTGGGCCGTGGCAGAGGGTACCGGAGATCTGTCGTTGCTACGGCCACCGCCTGGAGCCTGTGCTCTTGCAGCTGTAGGTCAAGTTTTGTAGGTGACACCGTATGAGGCCGTTTCCGGACCCCAACAAGAACTAGATCTTGTTCGTAGAGCAGCGCACAGGCACGGATAGCAACGCACTATACAGTAGATGGAACCCAAGGACCTGGTCAACCACGCTAACGCCCGTACGCGAGGTAGCTGGTGGTTGCCAGGGGGACTTACGGCTTATGATCGAAAGGCCGTGTGCTCTTGATCAGCTGGCACACCAGAAATGGCAAGTGCATGCGAAAACCTGCTGATCCCGATCTGTCCACAGCCTCCCCGTGAGTGTTTGGGTTTTCTTGCCGAGAAGGAGCTGATGCAGGTGCCGTAATTGGCGGCCCCCATACAGGACACGGTTGACTGCGAACTTCCACTGAGAAAGTTCCCGCATGCCATGGAGGCGGCCCGGCCCACGTGGAAGGCGAAGACTGAGAAGCCTTGTCAGGGTGACGGTGCCGAAAATGCCCACAACATTCATGACGCATGTCCCGGCTCCCCCACAACTCCAACAAGCCGAGTTTCGATACTGGGGGAATCCTTAATTTCATCCGAGGGTGTCATGCTAAACGAGCACTACCCAAGACCATGCCCGTTACGTGTGGAAAGCACATCTCAGTCATGGAGGCTGCATGCGTGGCAGAGAACCGAAGGAACGAACGGAGGAGACAGCAGCTCTGTGCCAACCAAGCGTCGACTGAGCAGGCACCCGACATAAATCGCTGCATCCGTATCCGGTCATCGGGAGACAAATGACTGAGCACGTCCATGTCTATAGGCCGTGTAAATGCCCGTGGGCAGTCTCTGTAATGGGCTCCATGTGTTGCCCACACATGGACGGTCGAGTAAGCAGGGGCAGGTGGACAGGGCCGGTCGTGAATGGGGTTGTGAACCCAATGATGCTCCACAGCACCAAGCCTCACTTCAGAGATCGGATCGCCCGTCAGCCGCACCTGCACGTGTCCATGCAAGACTCCACCACCTGCACCCATCGCTAACAACTCGAGCAAAAAATGCTGCCATGCAGAAAACACAGCAGCAGTTGGACCACATCCAGTCTGTCTGCACTCCTATGGGGTCCGGGCAGGTGCTGTTCAGGTCCTGTCAGCTTCCGATCATGTGCTGTCTATCAACATCAGCGATCTTTATGCCCACACTTTGCATGCTGCCTGTGGATGCTGTTGCTGTCAGCTGACTTCTGTGACTTCTCGCCGGATCGCCTTCTCCTCTTCTGCACCTGATGCCATCAAAGTCTAAAGTCAAACCACTCGCGCGAAGCTGCAGAAGCTGCAACCAGTGAAAGCGCAGCAGCCTCCTGTGCTTGCTTCCTGGAGCACAGACCAGAGTTTCTTACCGGCCAACGAGCCACAAATACTATGCGCAACCAAAGAACCACTCGCTGTCGCTTCCAGGGTGGATCGGCTTTTGCATTCTGTGCAAGCACCTCCGCAGAAAAGCATGACAGGAAGCGTCTTCATCTTGACGGTCTTTTAGGGGCCTCGTCGGGTGATCTTGCCGAGCCTGCCTGCAGCACAGTCGCAATATGCGACGAAATGCGGAGAGACGGAGCGGTTCGCGAGGGGGACGCCTGAAGCCTTGAGCCGCTTGGGGCAGCTGAGTCCAGGCATTTCCGCCTCGTTCCAAAATCCCCCACGAGGACTCGGGGTTCGCAGCTACTCCATGCAGGCCACCAGACTGAGATCTCCGCCACAGCTCCAATGCTGCAAGAAACCGTCGCATCCATGCTATCCTATCAGCCTGGCATTCCACCTGCCTGCGGCCTCCTGTCCTGTCTCGGGGCGGGATGGAGGGGGGCCGGGCACCTGCCTCTGTTACAGCGATGGTGGGCTGCTGGACCTGCAGACAAGTGACGCTTGTAGTTTGGAGCCGCCTTGTGCCAATCCTAACTGTGTGGTGCCGAGGGATAAGATGAATGCATCGTTGCAAATTTCTGCAGGCCAGCCTGTGTGCTTGATTGCCTGAGGCAAGCGGGTTTCATGTATCAGTGCAAGGGCAATGCTTGCAAAGGTGACGCCTCGAGGGTTGCGAAGCGGGCCCTGCATTTCAGCGAGTGCAACCAAATCGTCAGTCTGTAAGTTGAAGGAGGCCTATCAACGATTGCGGCGGGGGCTGCTGCATGGCGGAGCAGACATGGACGTGTGACTATACCAAACTTTGCTTTCGAAGCACCGGAGCGGCTACGGTCTTTTGGAGGCAAGCTGCTGAAATTGTGGGAAATCTGCATCGGATGCTGAAAGTCGTGAAATAATGCGGTCTCGATGCTGAAACTAGCTTGCGGCACTCCCAACAGAGCGCGCTCAGGTGCTCTCAGGAGACTCTCCGCAGGGCCATCGAAGGGCTACTGTATGAGGTCTGCTTCTCGCACTGGGAAGCAGCCGGCACCTCGGCACCCTAACAGCACAATGCATGGTTTCTCACTTGCTTTCTTTTTGGCGCAAATCAATCGCCACACGACCTGTGCGATCAGTACGGCAAAGCAAAGACTGCAAATCGACGTTCCAAACCACATGAGTCCCTGGTGTGACAGACAAGATGGCGTTGTCAGGCTTGAAGTGCCTGGAAGGGATGAAAAAGATAGTTTCCCCGATATCTGCGTCAAATTCGCACTCAAAGCGGCGCTCTTGAAGATTGAAAGCCTGATGTGCTGGCTTCCCTGCACATGCTATAAGGCAAGGACGCACGATGGCATCCAAAGCCCGTCCACCGCCCTCCCCCAGAATTGAGAGATCTTCACCATTCCAGCCGTCCCCTCTTGCCTTACAATTCTCCGGGGTGTAGTTCCACCAGCAATATGGGAGCAAGAGCTCCTCTAAGGCCCGCATGTGCACATCAATGGCTTGACTCAAAGCATCTCTTGTTGTCATGCCGGGGGACTGGATATCAAAAGGAACTCCAATCTCTCCAAGCATGCTGGCAGTTTCTTGTGAAGCCAGTCTGCACTTCTGCTCCAGCTGCCTCTTGTATGACGCCAGTCGTTCCTGAAGCCCAAACACTGGAACAATTGGCGGGGCTGGAAGCAAGCCACCTAGAAGTGTCGTGCCTGGCTTGGTCTCCTCTATTCCGAAAGCTGGAGTCCATGTCTTTCCCACGAGCACAACACCGTCATAAAAGTGCGGTGCCCAAAAGGCTTGTGCTGGCATCTTTTCAGGGAACGGCTGTTGACCCTCTTTTCCAAACGCTGGTGGACAAACACCGATGAGTGCATGTGGCATTTCGCCAACCACTTTCTCAGCGAATCTCGTCACGAAGGGAGCAAAGCAGTCCGCCAACCAGTCACACTCGAAGCTCGAAGCATCGAGCAATTCCTGGCTGAGTGGATCCCACACGCCGGCCTGCGCCCACAAGCAGGAAGATGCCCATGGTGACCCCTCACCGGGCGCACATCGCTGCAGCTGCTCCAGCGGGCTCTGTCCTGCGACGGGACAGCGAAGGCCTAGACTCCCTTCAACCCAAAGCCTTGAGGATGGGAACACCAAGTTCTGCTGCTGTTGATCATGTTGCTTTCTGGTCATGTTGTTGCAAGGACAGCGGACGCCCTTTGCTAAGCCTCTGAACGCCACGCTGATGCATGAGTTGTCGAATTAGTCCTGCTGAAACCGCCCCGAACTGTGCCTTGGTGAAGTCGCTCCTTCCTGTCAGCCCAGGCGCACAAGAGGCTTGCGGGAGTTTCTGGACCAACACAGTTCCGGGCCTAGCCATCCAGGATGCGGTTCGTTCATAGTCTCGAAACCCAACACAGATGGCACATGTTTCACACTCCTCGAGCGTCTCAGAGGTTTCAGAGGTGGGCTTACCCTGCGCCGCAAGACGATCAGCGCTCCTGGCAATCTGAACCATCGCGTTGATGAACCCATCTTGAAGCAGCTGCTGAAGTGATGCATCACCTGTCATGCCCAAGCAATCTGAAACTGTCCATCTGGAGACCCTGATCCCAAATGTACTATCGACCTATGTCGCTGGACATGCATCGCGGAATAGCCGCTTTTCTGCGCACCGTACCGCTGCATCTTCCCTTAGGGAGATACTTCTGGCGGCTCAGGACGTTCTGGCTGGAAGTGTAGTGCGACCGAGCAGGGAGTCGAAAGTTACGGCTCCGGTGTTGCGAGGATCCAGCATCGACCAGAGTCTGCACACATTACCGCAGTATTTCACACGTCTACAGCCCAGAGAAAACTGGGCGAAATCCACGCAGCCGTAGTCGTCAATGTCAAATGCCTCCTCCCAAGCCACGTTCAAACTGCCATACTTAGAGAGTAGCAGCTTGTGAAAGTCCATTAGCACGATCCCTCTCCGAGCTTCGCTCCAACTACTAACCAAAGCAGATGGAAGACAGTTCACATCGCCGAGCATCTCAAAAATCACCCCTGAAATCTCCAGCTCATCCCGATTCCAGACGGCGTCGCTCCACTGCAACTGTCCACCTTGTGAGCTCGGATCCAAGTGTAGCAGGTGAAAACCGCCTTCCCTTGCACCGGGTATAGCGAAGGCGATGCGCTGAGCCGGCGTAAAGTCAGCGGGTATGGACGCTAGTGCTCGGTCTTCCGAGACATGAAAAAACTTCGTGGACGTTCTGCCTTGCAATATCCCGAAGCGCTGGGAACCGACTTTGCAACTGAAGAGCTGAATTCCATCTATCAACGGGAAGCCGCCGTGCATGGCAAATCTGATGCCGCTGAGATCTAGGGCACATCCTGGCTGCAAACTTCCCAGAATCATTCCCTCACGGTTCACTGTAACCGTTTTCAGGGACAGCTCGGAGGTCGGCTCCCGGCAGAGTACCGCAAACCTCATTGCAGAACTTGGCTTCACGCCAGGAGGCAGTTGACAGATCATACCAGCGTATCCGGTTGACTGAGTGCGTACCACGAGCCCTCTGCACATTACTACGTTGGAATCGAGTAGACAGAAAGACACCGGGCTCTCACAAAAGCATGTCGCGGCGTCGACATCCAAGCGCTTCCATGGGACCTCGTGCCCAAGCCTGAAACGTAAAGAGAGAGAGTTGACGTAGACTCCGCGGAAGAAATTGTCTTCTAATTCCCTTACCTGCACAGGTACCCACCTGAATGGTTGGTGAATCGCAAAGTCCTGGTCCAAGTCCACATTCCATGTCTGCGGAGGGCTGTTTTTGAAGGGTGACTCGTGTTTCGGTATCTCTGCCTGCCGCAAACATCTGTTCCGACGCAGCAGCCATGAGCGCAAGTTCGCGCTTTGTGCTGATGAAGCTGGCCTTAGGGCCTGGGGCACCGACAAACCGTTGGGGGCGCCATGCAAGGCTTCAAGCGGCTCCGCATGCTCCGCCCATGCAGCCCGCGCCGTTATTCGGCGGGTGTTGCCATAGTTTAGTGGAGCTCGAGCAGTCCTGCAGCCCGACACTCCCATTCTTGACATGTGCGGTTTCATGCATGCTCTCGCTCCCGTCCTTGCAGGAACTCCATTGGTCACCTTGAGCGGCAGCTCGTGACATCGACGGGCGCTTGACTTCAGCCCATTCGTGTCCATTACGCTCTCTGCAGTGCTGTCATCTGCCACTCGGTCTGTAAAGTCGCTCGTACATTGGCTGTCCCAAGGCAGGCAACTCTTGCTTGAACCAGCTGGAGCTAGGCTACTGCTCGATTCAGTACGCTTTTGCTGATTTCATCTGTGCCAGGTGACCACATTGAAAATTGACCACCACATGTCATGACTATGTCGAGTCTCTTGAGCCAGCGCATGTCACATGGGCGGGCTACCGTCCCGAGTCCCAGTCCATGACCCGGCTTACATCAGGTGTTTGCAGGTGCCTGTGCCAACCTGGCTCGTCACGGAAGGAGCAATCCGATCGCCAGCCCAGAAGAGGCCTGCGCGCCATTTCATACGGCGAACGCCATGCAAGCCAATTTAAGTCCCAGGGGCTAAACATCGTTGCGCATGCCAGTCTGTCGTAGTTTGAAGGCCATGACATAGAAGGCAATGGATCTCCGTTTTCTTGGTGTAGAAAAGCAGCCCCCGATGTGTGAAGAGCAGGGCCTATATGGAAGCCGGCAGCCTGCAGCAAGCAGTCGGGCTGATGCAAGGCACGACAGACTTCGGCTCAGGTTTGCTTTGGGAATCTACTGCCTCCAGAGTCCAGCCCGGAGCACCATCCCCACCTGTCCACCTCGACCAACAGTCTTGATGAGGATCAATAACAATCCAAAATCCATAATCCGCCGCTCGCTCACAAACCCTCGCAATGAACTGAAGGTATTCACCATCGTATATGCCCGGTCCAGCATGCTCCACAGCTTCCCAGGTAACGAGCAACCTCAGCAAATTAAACCCCCAATCGGTCAAGCGCTGCAGATGCATGTCCAAGTCCTCAAGGGAACACGGGCGGCCAACGAAGCTTACCTCGCGATGCTCATAGAATTGTGGTCCTCTAATATGTGTAGCACCATTCGGTGTCAGGGGTACCTTTGACAACCCTGAAAAGTTGATGCCCTTCGGTATGACGATGCGGCCGTTGTCGTCCGCAAAGTGGCTTCCCTCAATTCTCAAGCGGCCGGAAGATGGCAATGGCGCCCTCTCAACAACAGGCTGCGCCGAGCCGAACCGTTCGGACCTTCTTCGCCTGCGAAGATCCGCTCTTCCGCAGAGTGAAGCTGCAGCAGCACAAGCGACTCCAGCATGAGAGCAAATGGGCTTGATGTAGGAGACTCGCGGCCCACCCCGTCGAACGCCCACTGGCTGAGGACTCGAGGCGGAGCATGAAGTCCATGATGATGTTGCCAGTTGAAGCATTCGTCGGGACAAGGTAACGATCGAAACACGACCCTGAGCCACTTCTTGTCTGACAACAGTGACGGGTCCGCGCTCATGCAGTGGCGAGGATTGATACACCGCCGACAATTGGCAAGACCTTTTTTCTTAAAGCCGTCTTTGCAGCGGCTAGTATGAACCAGCCGAAATCAAGCTCTCTGCAGCTCAAGCCTGAAATTCTCGATGGACTTTGCCTCTCGAGCCTGACGACCTTCGAGCACATCCTGCGCCATGCCTGGACTGCGCACGGAGTGCAGTTTCATACGGGTCACTTGCCCGAGGTCGGCACCGTCGTTCGGCACTTCTCTATATTGCAGACCTTGTTGGATGCGGCTGGGCTAAGCCAGGCTGCTAGAGCTCCCCAATCCAGCTGGCTTTCGTTTCAATAATCTATTACGACTGGGTGTGAACATGTCAGAAGAGAGCATGTACCGAGCCGCCTGGACGTATTACCACGAACAGCTTTAGCAGAGGGGCTCTTGATCCTCAAAAGTTCATGAGGATTCTTCGCGACGGTACTTGCTTTGAAGGTTGTCTCCCATCTATGTCCCTTTGTGAAGTCAGCACGCCCTGGATTCTTTCACGCCCGTCCGCGGCTGACGCGCTCGTTTGTCCCTCGTTTGTCTTGTAGTTGTGTGCCCTGGTGGATTTGTCCTCCATGGGTCTCCCAGTTATGTCCCGTGATAAAGTGTGTAGACCCTGGATGCTGTAACGCCCCTGATGCTGGTGGAGTCATGTGTCTTTCGTTTGTCTTACAGCTGCGTCCCTTTGTGAAGTTCACAGGTCCGTTGTCTCCGTTTATCAAGTGAGGTAGTGCTCAAAAGGTTGTCTCCCACCGGGTTGTGTCCAAGGCCCTGGATGCTCCAACGCCCATCTGGAGATGGTAGGTTCATTTGTCTCCCTGCTGTCTCTCCCTGTGTGAATTGAACACGCTCGGGCTGCTCTAAAGCCCATCTTGGAGTGGTCTCATCTGTTTCTATTCGTCTCACGGCACCCTTTGTTAAGTGTCGCGAGGCAATGCTCGATTGTCTCCCAGTTTTGTCCCCTTGCGATATGAGCTGGCCCTGGATGCTCTGACGCCCGGCAGGGACTGATGGCTTCAATGATACCCCATTTGCGTCCCAGTTGTGTCCCTCTGTGAAACGGGCAGCAGGCCCTGAATGCTCTAATGTAGGCGTAACAGCTTAAAGATTGGTGACAATGAAAACATTCCCTGAGTCGCAACTGGACTTTAGATTGCGGACAAACTCCAAGCCAGAATGGGCCCAACAATTGATATCGGGGCTCGGATCATAACCGGAAAAGGTGTGACAATTAAACTACTAGGCTCTGAAATCCTAAAAAATACCGGACCGGTCGAGTACAAGCTTAAACCCAGGTTGCAAAATGCAGCTCTTCAGACATCTCACTGAACTACCAGCTCGCAGAGTGCAGTTCCAGACACGTGCTGCAGGCTTTGGCGAGAAGCCAGGGACACCGGATTCGAGCAACTGCAGCAGCTAAACTTGAGGCCTCTGCCTGATTGGAACCCCTGTATGAACCGAGCCATTCTACAAAGCCAGCAAGGGAATCCCTCAGGAACGTCCCCACTGCTGTTACTGTAACTACTTCTTCTACTACTTCTTCTACTACTACTACTACTACTACACCTACACGGCCAGAAATTCATCAACGCGACTCGACGACCCCAGACCTCACCCAAGCCCCGCCGACAAAACGACTTCAGAGGAGGGGGAGGGCGGGGGTGTGTTCATGCGGCCCAAACATTACTGCTCGTCTGGGACTCGTTGAACCATTTGTCTTTCATTTGTGTCACAGTTTTGCCTCTTTGTAGGAATGAGAGTTCATCTTGTTTTTATCATCGACCGCTTGGGACTGGTGCATTGATTTGTCTCCCAGTTCTGTGCCTTTGTGTTGGTGAATTGAGCAGGCCCTGAATGCCGTAACGCTCGTGTGGGGCTGTGTATTCACTTGCCTCCCTTCGATCTTCCAGCCGGATCCCTTTCTTAGATCAACAAACCCTCACTACTCTCACGACCGTCTTGGATGTGTTGTCCACTTCCGTGTCCGTTTGCGAAGTGAGCAAACCCTGTGGCTGCTGTAGCGCCCGTCTGGACTGGTGGATTCGTCTGCTTCCTATTTCGTGACCACCTGCATCCGTGATTCGTAATATGCACTTGCATGCCGCGACACTCGTCATTCATCTGTCTACTTGTTGCATTAGCCCGTTCAAAGACCCAACAGCAGAGCTTCCAGGAAAATCAGGAGTCGAAATTGGGAACCGGGAAAGGACTCACATGTAAACTAATCGCAAAGAAACAAGGCCCACATGAACCGAGTGGGCAGGAATCAACTGCCAAGAACCGAACCGTGGAGTCCATGGACTCAAAGGCACTAACTTAAAACGAAAAAAAACAAGTGAAACGCATGTTTTCTGCGATTGAATTTAGTTCTTTTGTTGGCGCTTCATTGTCCCTTGCATTCCCTTGTTCTTTTGTTGGCGCTTCATTGTCCCTTGCATTCCCTTGTTTTATGAAAATTACAAAAGAAGCACCACAGAGACACAACCCCAAATACAGGAAACATATAGTGGTAAAAAATATAACTAGGATTCACCTATCTAGGTTATAATGGTTCAAAAATCTCATAGTTGTAATTGGGTTACTGGTGGTGGTGAGTCGGAGGGCAAATGACAAAGACCTAATTTGATAAGGAAAAACAAAGAACAAAAAGACGCGTGTTTTCCTTTGTCAAAATTGTGTTTTTCCCTGTTGTGTTTTCCTTCATCGTTCGTTCACTAATTTCGTGCTTTTATTTCATTACATTACAAATTCGTGAAGCGAACGGAACGAAATAAACAACACAGCCCATGATTGATGAGTGCCGGTGTGGTGAATGAGAGATGAGTTCATGAAGGGTTACAAAAGACCTAGTTCCTACAACGCAAGAATGAAGCTTAGAAAATTTTGGGTCTTTTGCGCCCCAAAATGCGAAATTAACCAGAATGGAAGCCAAAAAAGCATGCGTTCCTTGTCTCTTTATTCGTTTCACTAGTTTCAATTGCCGTTTTGTCCTGGGTAGTTTTTGTGGTCTTCTTGGTAGGAGTACTGTCAAAGGAGAAAAAGACATGGAAAAATACCCAGATTTCATTAATTTAAACGTAAAGAAGTGTAACGTACGCATGGTTTAACCCCCAAATTTTGAAATTAGGGTCTTTTTACTTGGGGATCGCATGCCAGATGCGTTCTGTTTCTTTCGTTTAATTAGCTCTTTTACAACGGAATAAAAGGGAAGCGTGAAAAGAGCGTAATAAAATGAAAGAGAGAAATGTGAATGTAACGGAGAAGGAGGAACGAGTGAAGCATGCGGTGAACAAGGACAAACAAAGAAAACAAAAGAACTAATTTAATATAATGAAACCATGCGTTCACTTCTTTGCCTTATATTTTATTAATTAAATTAAGTCTTTTGTGCCTTTATTGCCTTTCATTTAATTTAATCACGCACTCATTCCTCGTTTGTATTAAATTAAATAGAGGAAAACAAAGAGCATCTTTTGCCTTTGATTTTTACCTACCAAGAAGATCGGTTTCGAAACTCTCTATCAAGATTTCATATCTCGAGATATATCGTGAAATATCTATTGACGAAATATGAATTTTCAAATTCAAGATCAATGATTGAATTATTTTCTATCGAATTAAATCTAGAATTCAAGGAATCCAGCATCATATATTCAATAATTAAATATTTCTGCTTTATAGAATGAATATAATATTTATGAATTCCAAGTTAAAAAGAAATTTGAAATTCTTATTATATATATTGTTCTTCAATAATTTATCTATTTAATATCATTTATATTGATCTATTTTAGATTCGATCTTATCATTCTAGAAATCTTATAAAATAGTAATCATAATATATTCATTAATTTTCGAAATATAATTTCATATTATAATCTAGATATATAATCTAGATAACCTTGGAAATTATATATTAATTATTCATCTTTATATCAATTTTTTATTTCTGATAATTTTATTCAATCAAGATTATATTGATCATAGTATATCGATCCGAAAAATCGTCGCTCAAAATATTATTCACTTACAATTCTATCCAAGATCCCTTTCCATCCTAGATGCCTCCAGAAGTCCTCCACCCGGAATAATTTGAATAATTTAATCTCACTCAGCATGATTATTCCTCCGCTAGTCAGGCTAGAGAATTCCTCATCTCCTATATTCCGCATATTCTATTCAATATCTCTAATGGATGCGACGAAATTTTATTATCGGTCATATTCTAGGAAAGATTCATCAGATTATTTCTATTTCGATTTTTTTTTTCAAAAAATATCAATCTATTTCTCTCAAAGATTCTTCTAGAAGTCCTTCATCCGGACCAATTATAATATATTAATATCATTCAGATAAAGATTTTTTTCCACTGCTCCGACTAAGATATTCTTCATTTCTTATTCTATATCTATGAAATATTACTGAGATATTAAATATATCTATTCAGAAGTCGTCAAGGATATTTTCAGCCATATCTATGATCCTTGAAATAAATATCTCCTGGAAGATAACGTATATTTTGGCGGTCAGAATCCAGCCCGATTATATATAGGATTTATAAGATATATGCCAAGATCTTGTTATTCTGATTATATGCTGGTCATTTCAAGACCGACGAATTCTGCTGTACTATCCCAAAATCATATTGTGCCGGTCCAAAAATACGTCGCTAAATCCCTGTCCAAGGCCGTTTTCCCTCATAGGTTCCTCCAGAAATCCTCCACCCGGATCAAAAATAGCATTATAATATCATTCAGAAGTGATAATTCCTCCATTAGCCAGGTTAGGAAATTCTTCGCCTCTTGAATTCCGTATATTCCATTTAGTATATCTAGTGATTACAACGAAATTTTATTATTCGGTATGCTCCAGTAGAAGACTAAATATTCTATAGTTATGGACCTCTCGTATTATATAGAGTATTGAGATATTAAATATATCTGCTCAGAAATTATCAAAGGTTTCTTAAACTATGTCCGTAGACCTTAAAATGATTACTTCCTTTTAGCAAAAATTCGAACTATAAATATAAATCTTATAGAATAAAGGAACTCCACAAAATATCGTTTTCTTTATGCAAGCTAATGGAATAATTTCTACCATATTTTCAAATTCTAATATTTTTTAATTCCAGAAGAAATTCCAAGATTCACTTATAATAATAATCTCAGGAGAAGAGAATAGGGATGAGAATCTACATGCTCAATGAAATTTATATAAAAATTCTTTGAATTTT